GACCAGCAAGCAGAACTGAGGGACGATTTGCAATGGAAATCATGGGATCTGATCTGTGAAATCCCGTACCAATTGTTGGGTCAAAAGGAAGAGGTGGACAAAATCACATATCTAATTCCCAAAACCCCACTTCACAATCCAATAGCGAGAATCTAAAAGACTTCATTACGAGGAAGAACCTAATAGACCCATACCGTCTCTTATCACCCAACATAAAACGTTTCTCCTGTGTCAGAAAAACTACACTAGGAAGAACATCTTTCTCAAGAATCGACTTTTTCCTAACCTCGAAATCCCTCTCAGGTACCATAGTAAGTTGCAACATAATGAGTAACCCCTACCACAAAGGCCTAGATCACAAGGCCATCACCCTCTCTCTGAGGCTTACCAAATCAGGATACACTAGCAAAAGCTTCTATCGTTTCAACAACGCTCTATTATCCTCTCACGACTTCCAAACTGAGTTGGCCTACATCCTAAGTTCAAAACGGATATAAACCCAGAAGAAAACATATTTACCAAATTTCCCCAAATAGTAAGTAACATCAGCTTGAAAGTGTCACAATCCTCCAGAAGATTAGCAGCATGAAGAAAGGAGCGGGAAGAAACACTACGTAACGCTATTGAAATAGCGGAAATAAATCTTCAAAGAACACAAACTCCCCACTTTGTGGGGAAGTGTTCTCTAAAGCCAGGGAGGAACTAACGGAATGGAGCAAGCTAAAATTAAAGGGTCTACAACTCGGGGCCAAAATCAAAGATTGGGAATTAAACGAAAAGATGTCCAAATTCTTCTTTCAAAGGATCAAATTCAATGCCAGGAACGTGAGGATTGAGTGCCGACTCAATGAACAAGGAATCCTATCCTTCAAAACAACGCAATTAGTAAGCATAGCAACCAGCTTCTACAAGGACCTCTACACCAGCAAATCCCCATTGGAAAGTTCCAACGTAACCTCAAAAGCCAGGTTGAAATTCTTAAACCATCTCGATTGCTCCTTGATAACCGAAGTAGCCAACTCACTTGAAAAACCCATAACACTAGAAGAGCTCCACACAACCCTCGAAGACCTAAAACCAAATAAGGCTCCAAGCAGAGATGACCTATCAAAAGAATTATGGATGCAAGCTGGCACACCCTAGGCCCCCTGCTCCAAAACTTTCTCAATAGAGCCTGGAAAGAAGAATCACTAGGACCCACCCTTAGTACGGGAGTTGTGACCCTCCTCTACAAAAAGGAAAGCAAGGAGGACATCATAAATTATAGGTCGATATCCCTCCTAAATGTCTCTTACAAAATCCTAGCCAAACTCCTAGCCTCTAGAATCAACAAAATCATAGGAGGCTGCTTCCACCTTGATCAAACAGGTTTCATCCCTGGCAGACTAATTCTAAACAATGTAATGACCCTCACCGAAACAACTAGAATATTAAATTAAAAGAAAGTCACGGCAGCGATCCTCTTCTTCGACTTCGAGAAAGCCTATGATCAGGTAAATTGGAAATTCCTTCAAGCCTGCATGGAAAAAATAGGAGTGGGACCAGTCTTCAGGAAATGGGTAAGTATACTTTACAATGACGGGTAAGTATACTTTACAATGACGCCCAGGGCATAGTCCAAATCAACGGCTTCCTATCTTACCCCTACAGAATGTCAAGATCGGTCAGACAAGGAGACCCATTGACAACACCCATCTTTCTATTTGTAATGGAAGCCATCGCGGCCTTCGTGAGAAAAGACCCCTCCATAGAGAGATTATTGAACGTTAAGGACGAAAGAGGAAAACCGCTTCACTTACCTACCAACCTCCTTTTCGCAGACGACCTTACAGTCCTTTTTAGAGCATCCAATTGATCATTTCAAGCCCTAACAAAAGCTATGCAAGCATTCCAGCTGGCCTCCGTAATGAAAGTAAACTGGAAAAAAACAATAGGTTGGTGGCTAGCTGAATCCCCGCCACCCATTGAACTCACACCCGAAGGAATGCTCTGGGCAGATCCATCCACTCCCTTCCGTTTCCCAGGTATTAATCTCAACACGAAAGGTTGCCACAATGCATGAGCAACGTCCCTATTATCTTCCATGATCAAGAGAATGCACACATGGAAAGGAATTCACACATCACTACTAGGAAAAGTTGTAGCATTGAACAACTCAATTTTAGCCATGATGTGGTATAACACCTCTATTTGGTTCCCATCTGACAATTTCCAAAGCCAAATTAGGAAAAAGGCAACAACTTTCCTATGGACAGGCAACCCAGACAACGACCACTTCATCCACAAGGTAGCCTGGCAAACGATCACCGAACCCAAATCCAAGGGTGGCCTTGGTCTCATAGACCCATCTCGACAAATTCAGGCCCTCCAAATCAAATGGATCCTTAGAATTGCCCTCCCGGACAACCTCCAGTGGACACCCTTAGTGTCACGGACTCCGCCAGGGCTCGATCCCTGGTCTATCTCTTTTTGCTGTTTCAGCTGCATCCCGTTTTCGGCCTGGCACCCTTTTTCCAAACTCCTCCTTTGGTACCGTAGAATTTCAGGACAACTGGCGCCATGCTGCAATTCGGGCACCACTTTCAAATACTGCATTTTTCAGTTCTGCCCTCGGGGCCTTTGCAGAAATGCCCCTGGTACCGTACGTGTCACCGGTACTTATACTGGCTCCCCGTACGATACGGGGACCAGTCTCGTACCAGTTTTCTGCTGCTATACTCGTACTCAGTGTGACTTGCTCCTGTTCGGCCTTCGAAATCCAAGACTTCGACTTTGTGTCCTTGCGCATGTGTCTGCGTCCTACCCTCAGTCGTGTCGAGTGAGTGAGTGTGTGTGTGTGCTCCCACTCTCTCCCTCTCTCCTCTCCCTCGGCTCTCCCTGTCTCCCTCAGTCTCCCGCTCGTAACACTGGTATCGGAGCGGCTTCGGCCCTCCCTCCCGCCCTGATTCATCATCGTCGCCATCGTCGTGATCGTCATCGTCGTGACACGTCATCATCGTCGTTGTGATCGTCGTCGTCGTGCCACGTCATCATCGTCATCGTCGCGACTGTCGTCATCGCGCCACGTCATCATCGTCGTTGAAGATCCGCCTTGATCCTTTGCCGCGCGCCGCCAGGTAAGCAACAAAATTTTTCTTTTATTTTGTTCTTCTTCCTTTTATCATCTCTCTCCTCTCCTTCTTCTTCATTTCTTCCTCTTCCACTTTTTTTTTTCCCTCTTCCTTTTCTTCAAACTATCGACTCTTCTTTTTCTTCGACGATTTTCTCTTCTCATTACCTTCTTCCCCCCCGACTCCGCTTTCCCCCGCAGTTACCCCGATTCCCACCCCGCCCCCCCTCGCGCGATCCCTCTTCCCCCT